CAGGGCACAGAAATCAGGATTTTAAAAAGATTCCCAGGTGATTCTAATGTGCAGCCAAGGTTGAGAACCACTGCTCTAAATGGAATCTTTGGAGAGCTGCTAGCAAATATCAGACTATCTATGAAGGAAGTTGGAAGCCATGGAGAATTATTTTGAACATGCTTTTTAAATATGTTTTAATTGATTTTTTTTTTTTAAGGGAGAGGGAGAGAGAGATAGAGACATCAATAAGAGAGAACTATCAATTGGCTACCTCCTGCACACCCCCTTACTGGGGATCAAGCCCGCAATCTGGACACGTGCCCTGACCAGGAATCACACCGGTGACCTCTTGGTGCATGGGATGACCCTCAATCCACTAAGCCACACCAGCCGGGCACCATGGAGAATTTTTGATTTGGGGAGTGCTAGGTGGGAGGCCAGGGCAGAACATGGCCTCACTAGGACCTGGATATAGAGGCTGAGCTTTAGAATACAAGGACCCTGGCCTTGTGGAGAGGCAGGGCTTTTCTCCATTAGTTTGCTGGTCCCTGGGACCCATTTCTAAACTTGGGGAGGCAGCTCCATGGGTCCAGAGGGGCTTGAGCTGGGTGTAGTGGGTACGGGACCAAACCCGGGCCAGGGAATTCCCAGGCAGCTAACCTGGCAGGGCTCCCCAGGTGCGTATCTACAGCCCGTACCAGGACTACTATGAGGTGATGTCCCCCAACGCGCACGAGACCACATATGTTCGAAGCTACTATGGACCGCCCTACGGACAGCCCTACCCAGGTAAATTTCTGGCCCGCCCAGCTTCCTGCTTCCATCCAGGGCCAGGCCCGGGTCAGGCCCCACCCTTTTAGTGACCAAGGATTTTCTCAGGCAGAACCCTCCACAGGGCCCTCCCCATCCCAAAACGCGGACTAGCACTTGGATCGGAGCCCCTTCCCATCCCAGGGCGGACTCACGTCTCCAGGCCGCCTTTTTCTCAGGCCGCTCAATACCCGTTCCTGAGCTGGTAATGACCCCTGGTGGCTAATGCGG